TATTCATAATATTGTACAAAGGATAAACAACTGTGTGGGAGAAAGAAATCAAAAATACTTTATCCAGTTTCTGATCTATGTTGGAATGTTGGCCATCTATGCACTAGGTTTGGTGATCACATCGTGGGTTTTAGAATGTTCTCGGTGCAGTAATGATATCGCTGTCAAACAGACACGCATGTACGTGTTTTATACAAATATTATCTAAAAATTATATAAATAATTTTCCAAACATGCTTTCTACTTTTAACCGAATATACATTGCAATATTTTTTTATGAAAAATTTATATATATATACATATATATAGATATATGTTTAAAAAATTGTTACCCTTAGTATGAATATAGAATAGGTCACTAACAAAACACTGATTTTAATGAGGATTTTTTCTGCAGCTTACACTGTGTTATATTGGTGTTGGAATCAGCATTGTTTGGCATGTTTGTCATCGCAGTACTGGTAGACCAATTTCTAGGTATTCTGGGAGAAGAAAACTCGATGGAACGTGTGCAAAGCAGTCATCATTATAAAAGAAACAGCTCGCGTACTTTTTTGTTATTGTCTCAGGTTTGTGGTAAGAGTCATCCAATCCTGTGGATGCTACCTTGCCAAAACGCACCAAGATATACTTTTAGAAAAGATGCGTACCTGATCGATCATGAAGTATAAGCACACACATAATTAATTCTTGAGTAATGACTGCTTTTTTCATGGCTTTCTATGCCATGAAGTATTTTTTTAGGTTGTTATTGCAGTAGTCAATAATTATCTGTTATTTAATGCGTACAAGGTGCAATTCATAATACATTGAAATATTTTATATAATACACTTAAAGATATCTTTTTATTGCTTGAAATTGAATGTCTTATTGAATTTTATAATCTTTTGAGTGATGCTAATATAAAATAATGGAAAACGTCATTTTGTGAAGTAACAGTTTTTATAAATGTTATATATTATTAGTATCTTATTTCAATGTTATATTATTATGTTTTTATTACATGATATTAATCATAATAATACAAAATGAATTAAATCAATGAACTAGATCAATGTATTGTGAAGCATTAATTTTCAAATCATTCCATAAAATTAAGTAAGTCTGCATACAGTGTAAAAATTATGAGTTTAGTGTTAACCTTTTAGATACGATACGCCACTATAGTGGCTTCCGCGGATAGCATCAATTGGAACGGTACGCCACTATAGTGGCCTTCCGCTGAGACTCTATTTTTACGGAGCGTTACTATAGTGGTTTTCATGGATAGCACCAATTTGGAAAATATATAAAGAAATTATAATTTATTCGTTTAGAACTCTGTTCTCAAGTAATGTCATAGTGGAAATCATCATGAACGGTTTTTGTGCCATCCGCGGCCAGACTCGCCGTCCCAGGGGTACCCACTTGCGGACGAGCGCGACGCCGTATCTAAAAGGTTAATATAATTGAATTGAGTATTAACAATTACAATTAATGATAATATTTTAACAATACTTGCAAATATGCGAATCTAGAAGAATTTTTTAATATACTGATACGAAATTTTTATTATAAATACGCGTCTTTAGGGTACATGGTGCATTGTTTCAATATGTATAGTCTTTAATTTTAGTTGCTCTATTGTTTATAGATATCGGCAAAATTTATTTGCATTTAAACTGTGCAAAATTATCTTAATACACATTTTTTTTTAATGATATTTATGTGTATCATGGAATTATACAGTAAATGTAGTACAGTGTTATGAAAGGGGAATAAGGGTCAAAACAGTTTTAGATTCGAAAGTTTATTTTGTTTTATGTACAAAAAAATCGTTTATTTCACAAATAGATTTTAAAGACAAGCAGCCATTAAGCCAGCAACATTCTCAAAATCTATTTTTTCTGTAATATTTTTTGTTTTTATATTTTCGTCTTGATTTGCGATAAAGATAATCGTTTTACTCTCTTCCTTCCATCCATATTTTTTTACCCAGTGTTTCAGAGTATTATCTGAAATTACATTTATGTAACAAAAGTGCTAATTTATAATATTTCCATTTTTCACACAAACAAATATTACCATCAACACCGCCAAGTAGTTGTGCCAGAAGACTTTTTTCTATTGTTTGAAATGTTATTCCCACTACATGACAAACAAATTTTCTTACTGAATCTTGGAATCCTACAATTTTGTCACAAAGATCAGCCATTGAAAGAACTCTATCCCAAAAGTGCTGAAAGTCGCACTGTTCTAAAATATCTCCTAAGTACATAATTTCATTAATGGGGCTTTCTTGCATCTATAAAAATAATTAATTTATTAATTTTATTAATAATAAATATAATATTTAACAAGATATTTATTTAAAAGACATATAAATACTTTGAACTTTTCATATATAAAATAATTTTAAAAGTAGAGACTGATTTGTAATAGATATTAATTAATTTCTTAAAAAAGTCAAACGTAACATGTATTTTAAATATGTGTGCATTATAAGACAAATTAAGTTACATGTCAATTATTATACTTCTTCATTTAAAAAGGTTGTATTTATTAAATATTTATCATATGAATAATAGTGGCAGCTATTTATGAAAGTATAAAAAATATATTTATAAATAAATAACTTACAATTCTTTCACTGAGAAGACATTTGCAAAGAACGAAATCAGTATGTGGAAGATTTGTCAGAGCTTTTAACAATATCTGACAAGTAATATCCATGTTGAATCTATGAGGATTCAATTGATAAAGCTTTAAAACTGCTAAATTAGCTTCTAAGTCATATGCATTTTCTCTGGATTGTATTTCAACATATTTTTCAAGAGTTGCTAAATGATCTGGATTATACCTGAAATTGTATTTGTTTTAGGTAATAAAACAAAATAATCATAACTAACAGACACATATTTCTTATATATATGAATGTATGAAACTCAGAATGTATATAAGAATTTAGTGCCTCCATCCTATTTAATGCAAAAATTCAACTGTTAATTTTTTATTTTTTGAAATAATAAACAAATTTATAGTCGTATTGTAGTAACTACCTTACCTAGTATACTATACAGATAATAAAAAATAATTAAGTGAAAATAGGGTTTACATTATTTGTAAAAAATATACGAGTAACCATAAACTTAATTTATTATTATATTTATACATACTCCAAAACAGCAAATGAATACGATTCAGATTTGACATATCAAAAGTACATACCTCTCGATGCCTTTCAACATACCAGCCACAGTTTGACGCATTGCTTCAGCCATTTTAATACAGATAGTTTCTTAAATTTTATGTTCCGATTATGTTGTTAGTAAAGTATTATTTTGACTAATATAACACACGTTTTTACGGTTAGGAAACAAAGCAAGTGTGGTTCATGCGGTGACAGAGTATTCAAGGCTGCCAAATTTGATGGGTGCTGATGTCAAATTCTGCAAAGCTTGAAAAAGAATGCGTGCCAACCAAAAAATATTTGTGTATCTATTGTTCATTGGATAGACTTGAATCATAGGGTTGCAATTGATACAGACGTTCCATGCAAAGTAATTTTTTGTTTATGATTCTATCATAATTATGTTCCTATTTACCTGAATCAAAGACGAAGTACAGGATAGACTTGCAAGCTTATGGGACACGGTGTCATATGTTCTGAATTACCGACTGTATAGAGAATCAGAGGTTTTGCTCTATCTTCTACGTCTAGCGAATGGTCAATAAGGAAATTACATCAAGCAAAATGATCAAAGATGATCAAATAGTGAATTTTTTGTACATAGAGAGTCTGTACATACGTACCTTAAATATGTACAAGTCGTATTTATTTGTACCCTGTTGATAAGGTTGTAAATGGCACGATTAAAGTCATTGACACGAGAATAGTAAGGAAGTCGCGTAACCCTTCGGCCATGAGATAAAAATTTACATTGCATATCCAGTCTCATGCTCCTCATATTTCTCGTCAGTGATATAGACTTCTGTAGCATCGATATTGTAGATTCCATTGGTTTTACAGTTATGTGAATAAAGTATCATCACATATGATTTCTATAACACCATCTAGGTTGCGCCACGTGTTTCACTGTGTAATGTTTATTAACGCTTATATATTAAGCGAGTGAGGTTATTTGCTGTTCTTATTGAAAATCGTATGTGTATTAACAAAAATGATTGTGTCCACTTTAAGATCAGTAATAGTTTCTCTTACGAGATTCAGGATTTCTGATATTGATAAAGTGACGGGAATATTGTCTTCGAATTCGACAAACATAAGATGTATTCACTTAACCCCCATTGACTTGAAAGAAATTCGGAGTGAAAATAACAAAATCAGAACTGTATCAAAGAAATTATTAGACGAAACTTCTTTTACTGTAGAGCCTGGCACATCGTAAGTAATTGACTAATGTTTTAAAAAACAAATTTTTTATAATTGTATATAAAAAATTCGATATCGAGATTTTCTTAATTACATTTACAAACGTATGATTTGTCCTTAGTGCGTTAATATTTCCTGATGAGTTTACACCAAACAAATTATTCGATGGAATATTATTCAAAGACTTACCAATTGTTTATGTTAAGGCAACACCTAATAATACAATACTAAGTCTTAGTGATGCTATGGGCAAGTTTTAATATATATTATATGTAAACAGTATTGTTATAGTTACAATATACATATAATGATATAACTATAGGACTTGGAAAAATATTACATTCAGCTGGTATGGAAGGCTTTAAAAATGCAAAGAAGGGTACTAATATTGCAGGGCAGCAAGCAGCTCAGACATTTGGAAATGTGAGAAGAAATTTTAATATTATAGACATCTAATGTTACTTTATATTTGTATATTTACATAATTTGTGGTATTACTTTTTAAGCGTGTTCTTGAGTCAGGTATAAAAGTTGTTCGCCTAAAACTACGAGGTATTGGACCAGGCAGAATGGTAAGCATTAAAGATTGATAGATAAACTTGCTTTAAATTGAATATTTTTGTTACAAGTATATTTATTCATATTTATATAGGCAGCAGTAAAGGGTCTTCAGTTATCAGGATTGAATATTGTTTCCGTCACAGATGCTACTAGAGTATCATGGACTCCTCCAAGGCCAAGGAAACAGAGAAGAGTATAATGTACAAGATGCATTATAGAATAGAAAATAAATCAATTTATCCCAAAATATTTATATAATTATTACACGTGAAATTTCATACAATTTCTCTTATAAATAAATAATACTTTTCATTTATTATGTACAATATATTTATATTACAAAATAGTGTATGATAATATTAAGTAATTCTCCATTATAAATAAAAATGACTAGATAGAGAAATGGATTTTCTAAATTACTTGAACATAATTGTAATAATTTAGCAAAGCATTTTGATTACTATCACATTTACCTACACATAATAAGTCATCATTTATATTTTATAAAAATTATTTAATAATTTATACTTTCTTATCTATGAAAAACCTATTACTTAAATTGATATTTTCATGCTTTTTCATTGCTCCCTTCGTCAATTTCTAATCTTTTCTTAAAAATTAACGTTGATAATAAACAATAGCGTCCATAATTTACGTTCTATGGAATTGAAGATTGCGAAATCAGCGGAGCAACAAAATTTCGATAATTTCTTCACCGTATAAAATGCGCATATTTTGTTATCCAAGGTATATATTCCGAGACTCGTGTATATACACCAGGAAGTCGAGGTCGGGCGCATCCTATTCCCCACGAGACTACACCTACGACCATCATGCTACCACCAGAATGACTTCCGATCATCAAAGGTCCACCGCTGTCAGTCTAAAACAGATATTAAAAATCACTTCTATATATAATTGAAGTAAGTATCAATGAATTTATTACTATTATGACATCAGTAATTATAATTTAATAAATTAGAATTTATTTCTGTTTGTCGATAATAAAATTACAGTGTTCGATTGATTCGTTACTCTAGAGATGCTATAATTATAAGATTCTTGTTTGAAACTTCTGACGAATTTTTTGTTTTTCAATCAATCATCGGCATTTGCTTGTACCACTGGTTATAAGACACCCCGTATCGTCTACTCAATGACCACGGACGACTAAACACGGGACGCGTAGATCATCGGGATTGCTTAACGAAGTAGAAGATCTCTCAAATGGTCCGCGAACGGAATCGCAAATAAGCGAATGAAACGTATCGGGTCGGAAACACGTACATATTCGCGAAACCTTTTGCCTTGATAATTACGTTACCCCGCACCGGCCATATTCCGCCGATATATTTTTTCAGAAGCATTCGCAGCGCTGTGCGGTTTTCCCTTTCCTCTTTTCCTGCTTTCCTTTTTTCCCCTTTATTTTATGTTATATTGTTTCGCGGTCGAATAATTTAGTCCGTGACCGAGCCACCCTCTCCGTGGACCCGTTGTTAATTCAACGTACGCGCGGCGGTCTACGCGACCGCGGGTATTTATTGAAATTCACGTCGCGGTAGTTCGGCGGCGCGTGAATTTCGTGTATGAACGATTGACATGCAACGCGGCGCTAACTAGCGTCATGTGAATCGAGGAGGAGGAGGGTTTGATACGGGGATTGGGTTAGATGCCAACAAAAGATAGCGATGATATAGTTCAGCTGGCAAGCGTAATAAACCCGTAAATAAAAGCTTCTTTCGCAGTTCTTGTTCGGTGGTCCTGTACACGCGAAACTTGAAATATTTCAGTTGTTTTTCAAATTAATCTGAAAGGAGAATTAATTTAATCCTCTGTGGACGAGAATATTTTCAAAACTCTTCTCATAAGGAGTTGAATTATGCAATCGAAGGCTTGAACATCGGGAAAAAATAAAACCATCTATCAATTTCTCCTTATTTCAATAATTAAATTCATTCGTAGTCTTCGATTTTAGATATCAAAGCTTCCAAGTTGTCAGTACGGTGATATTTGATTGTAAGTGCTCAAAAAAGAGGGTTGTACAGTGCCGAAAAATTTCAGCCAGTTTTCTTATAAAAATCTGTGTCTCTAAAAAATAAGACATTAGGTGTTGCAAATGTGACGATGTTTTATCAAGATTTCGTGTAAATTCTAATTATGTATTCATAGGATTTTGGAGAATCAGTTTTTCAATTTCGTCCTTTTTCTTCCTTTTTTCTTTATAGCACAGTATTGATCGCAGTGTCAATTTTTATTGTCCATGACTGTCTTCAGTGAACCTCTATTTACGATTCCGTCGGGTTCGCTATTTCGCTGTATCGTTACCATGCACTGGGAAAGAGACAAATGATACCGACGGTAGATTTCACTTACCCAGCAAGTGTCCCGACCGCCTTCTTCGTGGCCGGCGCACATTTGCTTCACCTCCACGCGAGTCGACTTGCCCTCGCTGGCATACCATTCGCGACAAACGCTGTTCTCGATCACGCGAACGTCCACTTTCTGCAGGATGTCTGCTCGTTTGACTGGAAGATAGAGGACGGTCGTGTTAGTGATCTGTACTCCGCGATATCTGTGTATCGCTCGCAATCCGAACCAGCTTTAATTATTTAGAAAGGGTTGTTGATACTCGTAGCAATGAAAGTAAAGATTACTTCTTTCTATGCATAAATATATAAATAAAAAGACACATCCACTACACATTAATGATTAACACGTTGAATGCCGCATGATTTCACGGAGCCAAATACGTGAAATGGGAAAAGACGTAATATTGAATCATTAAATGGAATTCCGTTATTGTTACTGCACGTTTATTTTGTTCAATGCCACTGCACTAGGTAATATTATTTATAATATAGAAACGTTTTCAAATAATCACCGTTTAATTGAGTAAATTATAATAATTTGATTCGGTTGGGGGTCATCGGTGACCCCCATGGCATTCAACGTGTTAAACAAATCTAGTCGTACGAGAACTGTAGTGAATGTTTCTTTTTAATACTTAGTAATATTTATGAAGAATTCTATTAAAAACGTTTTTAAACTTTTATAAGTCCAGCAATAACATACTATTTCGTTAAAAATTAAACTTCATTTATTCACGCGACTAGAAACGCGCAGCAATCAATTTGTAATGAATACGTTTGTTTTTCATATCCAAGGAACTGAATTATAACTTGATTGACTCCCTTAATTAGTATTTTATTTCTCCGGAGCACGTTATAGCTGGAAGAAACTAGACTGTCCATTGTTTGTTGCGGATATTCCGTAAAGTTCAGGTAAAAAGTATCGCGAAGCCATTAGCGGGACGCGTTTTATTTTTAGAGAGAGAGAGAAAAAGGGAGAGAAAGGGAGTTTACCGGGTACCCGCGACGAGAATTATCGTGAATTTAAAAGCATTCGAGTTAGGTCGGCGGAATTCGATTTTCCGGAAAACGTCTTTCGGCCGAAAGTTAAATTCGAACGCTAGCCCTAGTTCCTGCGAGTCGACCAAGTAAGCAGGAACTTTTGTAGAATGCAATTTCGACGGCGAATTCGGTTAGATACTCCCGGCCCATTGCAGCAAAACTTTACGGTACATGTTGATAACTTCACCGTGTCTTTACTTATTCACTTGAACGGCAACGATCCCGTCGTTAATAAAGCAAACTGCGCAAGAAGCGTCCTAACTTCCCCTTATCTTTCTTAATCCAACTTTACTTTCCGTCTGTGAAGAACCGTCGTTCGTTCTTTCGTTCCACGGGATTCGTTTTAAAACGTCCGCGCTTCGTAGGTGCCTTTGCGAGCCCCGACAGACGGTCCTGTTTCAACGCCGTCCAATTAATTTCATCACGGCCCGATTAATTGACGTTAATCCTTCTACGGTTCGGTACGAACGAGACACGAAACTTTTTAGTCCTACTCTTTTGACCGAAAAAAACCTTTTCACACTGTTTAAAAAAGTTCACAGACAAGTTTCACTTTGTACAATTAAATTCCATCGAACTGTTCGTTGCCTACTTCATTTAACGACTTTTCATTATTTTTCAGTTTGTTTAATTCTAATCCTATATCACGATGGAGATGTTGAATAAAAAAGTCCAATATAAATGTTTCAGCACTTGTTGCACACGAAGAAAACGTATTTTATAGGAACGACAATACATTTCTCGGTTCGTATTATAAACTGACAGTTTTAGTGGTCTCTTAATTCAGCATTTTTAAGAAATAAGAAATATCTTTTTAAATTATCGTCGCATTTCGAAAGTGTTCTAACGTTTTTAATGCGGCTAACTCATCTCGCCGACTGTAATTAATCGTTTCATTGGATCGTGGAACGGATAACGACCCTCATTTCTCGGTCAAATTACTCACACAGGGGTCCGAGTATTATTTACTTACATCTGGACCTGTCTTCTCCGAGCCAACCCCATCCGGCCGCCTTAGCTAGCTCCCCCCCGAAGGCACTGTATCCTGGTTTCCCTGTGGCCACAGGTAAACAGGCTGGTTTCACGCTTTCCGACCAAGTGATTGGCCGAGCGAGTTCCAGGAGGGCAATATCGTCCACGAATTTTCCACATTTGTGGCCAGGGTGTAGAATAGCGTTTGCCACCCTCTCTTCCCTCGACGGGGGCACTTCCGCTCCCCTTAGATTGTATTCCCCTAGGCTGACACGCAGCTGACCAATTGGCACCACCGAGGTCGATCTATTTTAAACAGAAAATAACGATTCTTTTTCTTTACAAAGTTCATGATATCATTTATTTATATTTGATATTTTCTGTTTCCTCAATGTTGTTAAGGAAAAATAATCTTATAAAATATTGTATTTATATTAATTATATCTAATATTACAGTGCATAATGAAAATGTTGAATGAAAGTAATAGTTTAAAATTTACTAGTTTCACTTACTAAAATTTTTAATTAAATGTAATATTTTTATCCGCTAATAATTTAATTGAAGTGAGGGTTAAAGTGAAATAGCAACTACTACAAATTATTTAAATTATTTTTACTATCTATTTTAGTGCTACTAATTAGTGCTACTAATTGTGATACGTATTGTTCGACAGTTTGTAATATTATATTAAAAGGTTCAATTTTATCGATAATTATTTTATGAACAATATCTTCTCAATTTTTAATAAATTTGATTGAAATTGTAGAAATTATATTCTATATGCAAAACTCCATTGCATCAGTTGGAATTGGATGTAAGGCGATTAAAGTGCAACATGGGCAAACGTAAAAAGTCTCTGGCTAATTAAAAACAACGGAATCCACTTGCGAAGCTGCTCGCCGATTCGAGACGCAAAGTCGGGAATGAAACGAGTTAATCATCACGAGCAACAACTCCGGGAAAACTTTTTAAGCTCTTGCTTTGCGAAGGTTCGCTAGGCCACGTTACGTTGAAAAATTGCCCAGGCATAACATGCGCTTTATACGTATTAGGGATACATGTAAGCCAAGTAGAACAAATAGCCTCCTCCGTTCCCTTAGCTTCTTTTAGCTCACAAAGCAGTCAAAGTCCGACGGTGTCCTGTGTCGTCGGCGAATAATGATTGTAAAAATACAACGAGAACAAAGTATTCATTATCAGTGGAGAGTTCGAATATTATTTTTTATCTTTTCTTATTTAAACAATTTTTAAACGATTCGTTTATGTGAATGCATCGTACTTACAGCGTTTTTTCTACGAATTTTATTGAAACGTTCATGAAACCTGCTCAAGGTGTTACATTTATTTTTTCTGAAATAGTATTATATAATATCTTAGGGATAGAAAAACTTATTTATTGAAACTTTATGTAGTTATTTAAACTCCATTATGTAGGTAATACCTATTTATACAGATAATAGAGATAATAATAACAGTAATTAGATGACATTCAAGTTGAAAATTATTCCTTTTTAAATAAAATTTTCGTCATTCGTTGAAAAAGTAAACTGCGCTGACTTTTCCAGTCTTTCGCAGAATACGGTCAGTTTCTTGCGAACATCCGGGCAAGTTTCACTTCCACCAGAAATTGTTCCAAGTCACAGTGTTTTCGCTTTCAGAATATAATTCGAACTTTCTTTTCATTTCGTTTATTTCACAACACTGGTATCCTCGCGGTACTTTCTTTCGCGTTTTTGTGTGTTTGTATTTCCATCAGTTTTCTTGCCATTTCGACGGTGCGCGCTCCTGTTTTATACGAAAACTTCATCGGGTTCGGGTCTTTGAAAAGGAAAGGAGCGCACGATGGCAAAGTTTTAATATTAGTTTTATAAATGGAAGGGCCGTATGTGTGAAAATTGGAGCAACTGCCACGCAACACTCTAAAAACGATTCTGGCAGTTGTTTCACAGAACAAGAGACAGCTCATAATTGAAAAGTTAAACTTGTAAAAATGTGGTACGTCTGTAACGCTACCCTTTTCATTTTTCAACGCTTACAATCGATCTTGTAAGCTTTTCTCATGTGTTTCAAAAAATCTTTAAAAACCTCCTTACCGTTTAAAAAAAGCAACAAGCTCAAAATACAGTGTTAGTTTAAAATTATTCCACGAAATAAATAAAACAGTAACCACAGATGACATTACTACCCCAAATACATCATAACGAAAAGAAAATATTTCTCACGTCCATTATTTACGTAATACATTCAATACAATGCAATACATTCCATCATACACACATAATTAAAATCAATCAAATTTTATCCCTCGCTTCAAATTTCAAAATCAATCACTCCCTAGTTACTCTATCCAATTGCATGGGCAACGATTAAAACAGAAATGACAGATACCCGTCGCACGCATTATTTTACAATAATTTAACCTGGTCAATCCAATGATTCGATAAATCCAATATTACCTTCCCCCCGATTCAATCCACAAAATTCATTAAATTGTACCGCTTCTAATACCCCCATTAACAACGTACTCTAAATATGAAAGAATAATGTCTGATTTCACTCTTCGAACGAACGTTTCTCCGCATCCCACGTCCCATCCCTTAGCGAAGTGGGGAAAAGCCAGTTCTTTCGCGAGCTCCGTTCTTCCCTGAACGTTGGCAATTATTTAACCGGGATTTTTGTGTTCCGCCCGGTGGCGGCACCTATCCGCCGGGTATACGGCTGTTGCTTGAATGGTCTCGAGTGCGGCGACTTCGGTTAATTAATCGGCAGCCGCCACCGCCGCCGCCGCTGCTGGTTCCGAATAACTAACGAAATTATAGCGGCGAACCGGTTTCCCTCGTTTCTCTCGCATTAGAGGGGATTGTTTCGTCCCAGTTTCTTCGTCGCCACGATTCTTCCAACGGCGGCCAAGGTGGCGCAATCATGCTCGAGTAGTCGCGACTTCGTTTCCCCGAGTTTCGCAGCCGTCCACCCCTTCATCCCCTAGCGAAGTCCCGTTTAACGGACCCTCCCCGATACCCCACTGCTATTGCTCCATCGTTGGCCATGGATTATACGATTTAATCTGGACGCATCATCGCCACTCCTCCCACCCTTTATCGTCGCACCCTTCCAATTAAAATGCACCGCTGGCTAAACGCCGGATCGAACGGAGAGGGTGACTGAGTGGTTTCTCCTTCTTCCTTCTCTTTTTTCTTCCCCTCCTTGCGCCCTTTGTCACGGAAACGGGGCTATTAATTGCGCGTTAATCCGGTTGTAAAGACCGCCGCGAGGAGTACACGGGCTTTGCTAATTACTTCGCGGATAAGTTTCGATCCAGTTCTGTTTTGCGTCCAACGCGTTCTTGGATCGCGGTACTTTGGTAAATCGAGGCATTCGGTTTTTACTGACTTTGTTTGGATTTTTTGTTTATCCGAGAGCGTTCTTTGTTTGTTCTTTTTTTCGTCATTGACTCGAGTTGTGCGTAGTAAACAGTGTTCTTTGATTTATTGTTTCGTGGTTCGTTGGTAATGTTGGTTGAAGGCGTGTGTGTTGGAATTATTTGTAATTCATGACGATGTTTCTTCGTGTATGTTCATTTGGATAAGGTAAAAAGTGTAAGATAATAGTTGTCATTCGTTTCATTTGCGAAGATTCGAAGCCGCATTCCAAGAAGTTAAAGTCGAAAAGCGATGGAAGTCACTCTCGGACGGACCCTTCAATTAAATATAAAGATTGAACTTATCCATGTAAATTAGAAGGTAAACTTCATTCAGGTTTCAAGCGAAAACTACATTTTCATAATTGAATAAGACCGAGTCACAGTAAAATGGACGCGAATGCTTTCGAAGTGTTCACCAAGTATCACAGACTTAAGTTTTCGTAATTGTTTGGTTGAGTTCGAAGCAACGCTGTATAATCAACGCTAGTCTCTAATTTTATAATCAGCCTTTAAAAAATTGTTCCATTTTGATCACTCATATTCGTTAAAAAATTTACTGAGATCTATCTGTAAAATTTATTAAAAAATCTGTAACACGACCTCGTTATTTTCGTGATTCATGCGTCATTTTCAAGTGCAATCGTCGCTGGCGTAGCGAATTGTTAATCATTTTTAAAGATGGCGTCACGATAATAGCCGATAGTCTGTTCACGTACTTTTCGGGCGTTCCCCCTTCATTTTTCTGCCGCGATAGCTCTACAAATAATTCTGTTTCACGCTTGGGGCTGCATTAACGAAATTTATTTCGGCCGTTTCCGTGAACGATAAAGAAATCGCAGACAATGGCCGGGGTAGTCGGATATATTTTCACGACCTCGCGTCTGGTGGCAACGTTTTGTCATGCGTTTTGCATGGCCGCTAGCAATTACCGAGTGGTCTGTAATCTACACGCAATCATGGTTTACAACGCCGAAGCTCCGTTGGATTCTCTCTCCGACTACCCTGTCCAGTTTCAACCCTCTCTAACTCCTTTCTCCTTCTCTCTCTCTCCCTCTGTCCGCGTATACGTATACAATCGCTGACAGAGAGAGATAGCCAATGTCTACACGTTTCATCGCGCAGCGTTACTGTCTCGGCGTTTAATTACACCTGCGCGAACATAGTTTCATATTCTTCTCAATATTCAGACACGCAAAAACGTCAAATATTTTCCTAATTCTACCCTAGCTTTGTAAACATTGTTACAATGTTTACAAAATATTAATATTGCTGATATTGTACATTACACTAACCAGATTATATTAGTATTTAAAAATAATCAATAAAATTTATATAAAAAGTTTCACAACGAGACAGAAAAGTTCAATGTATAATTCACTTAAAAAAACGATTAGTGCCTGAAAATAGTCAACCACGATTACTTGAAAACACTCAATGTATACGTAAGTGTATCTTTTTTAGTTTGTCATACCATTTATCCAAGAAAAGCCTAGGATAATTTACCATACCAAAGATATTTGCGCTCAATAAATTACAGCTCATTCAAATATTCCAAAGTCATTAATCCACGAACAGCTCTACTTAATTTCCACAAACATTTATTATAGGTACCCGATTACCAATTAATCCGAGAGGGAAATCGAGTCAAAGGTTCCGCAATCTCCGCGCGCATTATCCGAGTCTTTGGCGGTCGAAGTTCCCGTTCGCTCCGCGGCCGCTTTAATCTACTTATGCATCGATGCATTTTAATGGCTGATAGAAACGCGTCGTTTACCTTTATTCGTTCGGTATATCTAATTTCCGGCGACGATCGTTGCCAGCGTTTAATACAAACCGGACCCTTGACTCTATTTGTCCGAGCCGTGTTTACTGCGCGCGGCCACG